CCGCGGTGCTGAAATGGACAGCGAATGGGAGCGGGAGCGGAGCCGGGCCCGGCACCGCGCGGCGGCCGCCCCGGCCCCAGAGCCGCTTATGTAACCGGCGGGGGCGCGGGGGGTCCCCGGACGGAGCCCGCGGCAGGAGCGCGGTGCAAAACTGCGGCACGGGCGCGAGTTCGGGGGGCAGYGGGGAGCGAAGTGGCGCCGCCGGGGTTCCTGAAAGCCGGTGTCGCCCTCTTGCCCCTCGCGCTCGCCCCACCGCCTTCCTTGGCGGGTGCTTCGCGTGCCTTTGCGGGCAGGCCGGCCAGCGCGGTGGTTCTTGCCGGCTGCCGCCTGCTGCTCTTCAATGAGTGGGACGCGGGCGGCTCCGGAGGCCGGTGGCTCCCGGGGCGGCCGGTGCTCGCGCAGTCACATGRTTTCCATTCACTATCGATCGCCTTCCTCCCGGAGCGCTCGCCGCTGTCATTGAAATCAACGGTAGCGGGCTCGACAACCCGCCGGCGTGCTCAGCCAGCGGCCAGGGCGAGAGGAGATGGGTAGGATAATCTCTGTTGCAAAGGCAGCGGAGGGGAGAGCAGGCTGCTCTGTGGCCAGGCGCTCTGGTGGGAATGGCAAAACCAGTAAATTTACAAGAAATTCCCTGGTGTTTTGACCCGTGCGGCCACGCTGGTGATCTCGGCCTGGTCCCTGGTGTAATGATGGGCATCYGCTTGCAACCTCCAGTGAAATGGGCTCGAGTTGTCCTTCTGGTTGGCATCTTCAGCAAAGGGGGTTCGGAAAGCCCATTCCTTGCAGGCTTGAAGTCTCCTTTACGTTATCCCAGGCTCATTGTGGGCAGCGTGGAGGGTCTCCAAGCGGGAGAGGACGAGTACAGAGTAGGTTGCTCCCCACTGCAGGACAATTTGGTAAAATTCCCCCTTGACGATATCCGAGACTCAAGAGAAACTTCCACCTTCTCACATGATCTTCTGTCCTGGAAGGGAAGTGGCTTTGGCTCCTGCTCCAGAGTTCCCCTGACTCCTGTCCTTCTCCCAGGCTTTTTCTATAGGGAAGCGTTATCCCYGCCTGCTGGAGCACATCAGCACAGAGCGTCTCGTAAGCGGCAAGAGGCCTGCATCAAACCAGGAAAAGGTTCTTCTCTTTTATAGGAGTAGCCATTTTAGAAAGCAAAGTTTTGCCCTCGAAGACCTGCACGCTCTGCTCGCGCTGCTCCTGTGCCGCCGGGAAGGCGTGAGGGGTTTTTATCGTTGAAAATAAAAGCTCAGCAGTTAATTTCAGGAGGAGACGTTTTCAAAAAGAGCTCTGGTGTTTGTCATTGTGAAGCAGCGTATAATAAGACATCATTGACTTCGCAAGCAGTGCTCTTAGGCGTATAAATAAAGCCTGCTCCTGATGCATTGCTCCAGAAGRAGAATGGAAAATCTTGGAAAAGCCTAAAAACCATCACCTTTCTCCTTTTCTTTCTCGGTATATGCATTATATGTATCTCAGTATAGGTGCATTATTGCTTAGGCTTCCCAGAACTGCTCTTAGGAATTCCAAAACCATCCATATAGACCCGMAGCCGTGCCTGGATGTCCAGCCTGCCCTC